TACATTGCGTTCGCTTAAAAATTTGTAAAACATTTTCCGTTGTTAATGCGTTCAATTTTAAATGACTGAAAGGATTAAAAAAGAACGACACAACATGTGTTTCATGTTGGAAACATAAAATCACGGCGTCGCGGGAAAAATTTCTTATTAAAAATTATGAAAAATCTATGGACATATGAAATATTTCTTATTTCAGGATAGAGTATCAATCTTTGAGAAATAAAATACCCCATTTCTTTAATGATACGTATGAAAATTAAATTATTAAAGGGAATCATTGTCATTAAAATTATGCTGAAGCTTGATGAAAAACGTAGGTTTACGTAATCAAACATACCTAAGCCCGCGTCTTTTCTTCTTCTGCACGTATCAAGATCCATCAGAAGTACGCAGACTTTCGTCTGATTGACTATATCTCACAATAATAGCCAAACATGGTCTTTTACACACGAAGATAACTATTGCGCCGTTAACAACTCTACTACCTATCTACACGCGTAATTACGTACGAATAATAAAATTGTTCGGGACGTTGCTCTCTCTCATCGACGATTAAAATTGTATCCTGTCAAAAAGCGTGGAAACGTCTGTTTCAGGTACTTTCTTTCATGCGACGTCTCGCATGTATCCACGTATCTTCCTTACCCGTGTTCTCGATCCATGTTAAATCAATTCTGCTGATTACTCGACGCACAAGAGTGAAGAAAAAAAGTCAGGAAAAAAAAAGAAAGAAAGAAAGAAAAGAAAAATACGCGATCCCAGTGATAACCTAATTTCTGACAGATCAGTGATTCGCTACTTTCACGACACGAGGACCCATCAATCGTTTCTTCTCTCGAGCTCTTCGCGCCGATCGTTTCGCAACTTACTCTACAGAATGTCCTGTAATTTTCGATCCTGTAATTTGGCCAGGCCATCGAAAGGACGGCGATACTTTTGTCAAAAAAAAGAAGAAGAACTCGCATAAATTTTCGACCTGGGGATAAGCGAGAGAGTTCTTTCGTTTTGGAGCATCATTGAGTATTATAAACGAGCGACGAAGGGATCGAACTACGGTTCATTTTCGATGAATCGTCTTTTGATTTGTTAATGAGCATTTATGGTCCTTTGTCCTTTGTTTCTGACTGTGTCTGAAGAATTTTACAATAGCCTTTGGATTAGTCGTTCGAACAATAGTTGGCTATTTAGCGTGAGAAATCGGTAGTTGAATTTCGTAGGAATGCGCAGGTCAAATTTATGACTTTAAGGCGACGCAAATGGCCTGCACAGATACCATGTACAACATTTGTAAAATAATATAATGTTAAAGGTGTGAGAAAGAAAGAGAACGAATGCCAGGGTGCGTGTCGAGAACAGTTGAGTAGAGCAGTCAGTGTAGATCTGATCGTTCAGTGAAGAAATACTAAGTTAAGTGAAGTGAAGAATTTTCGAGTGAGGAAAAATGTCAAGAAGAACTTTAGTGTCGCACTCGGTATCGATCAAAATTTTTTAAAAAGTAGACTCGCGTAATATTATTAATTTTTAATCGAGTTTGTTGAAATTGGATCAAATTGGACCAGATTCAGGTTGACGAATCTTCGAATCTCATTCTCTTCGCAAACAAAGTATCGTTCTTTCTTCTGTTCGTCCACGTTCGAGCCACGATTTCACATTGTGTACACTTGGGAAAGGAATCACACACGCATACACGCTCGAGGAGTGAAATTAGAAGTATTGCAATCGCACTTCTAGCTATGAGTTAAAACCTTCCGTGCATCGAGCACGCATTACGGGCAATTCAAATCACTTTTCCCGCCAATTCCGCGATTCCGAATAACGTACACTCGTCGAGTTCCGGACTCACTTTCGACGCGTAATCCGCCATAACCAACCTCATAAATTACAGATCAGCGAACGCATCGAGATCGATAGGTACCGATTAAAAACCGTAATAACGCCGGAGACGCGCAGATGTTTTTTCGTCGACGAAGAGGAAAGAGAAAGAAAGGGGAGGGGAAAAAAAAGGTAGAGAAGAGAGGCATGATTGCAGCCGCGTCGAATTTGCAAGCAATCATCGAAGGTTTATCCGTTAATGGTCATCGATCGAGTCTCCACGCTGCCTTCACGCTTTCGCACTTTTCTTCATTCCTTTTTCCCTTCTCTCTTTTAAATTTTCCCGCTCGAATTCGAATGTTTCGCCGCTTTATGTGGATGATCATTCTCTTCTACGTGAAGATCACATTCTATGTGCAGGTTCGATTTTACAAATTAACATTTTACGATTAATATATTGATATATTAGACTGAGAAGCAAGTGAAATGGCCCAATTAAATTCGCAATATAATATTGCAATTAAAATCATTGACTGATCGTAGTTGATAACTTTGTATTTCCTAGTCGAAAGTTTTCGACAGATTGCCTATCATACAAGATATTAAATTCTGGAATTCAGTGTTTAAAATGTCATGGATGCCACGTTGAGACATGATCAACGCGATGAGTTTCGTCGATTAGTAGGAAAGAACCAAATTAAATAAACGGATTTCGTTCTACTTATGTCATGAATTATATGTCGTACAATCATCGATATCGTGAATTACAGATCTTACAATCAAGATATGTCGTGACAAACGAATAGTTACATTATGAAATCACGTTGCTAGAAACGATGCTCACAATCTCGCAAAATGGTGGAATCTCGTACGCAACAACTCGACATATCGACTCGAGTAACCTCACCCTAGTGCGTCTTGCTTTCCCTTCTTCTCCCTCCCCGCCCCGTTTTCTTTGCCCTGATTTTTCTCCCCCTCCTCCTTACCGTTATTATAGGTTCCGTTTACGATCGATAACGACGGCCAAACGCCGAAGTACGTTTCAGGGACCATGTCCCGATCGTATCAACGATCGCATTAAGCCGCAAGAGTTGTTTTAATTGACCGTTTCGCGCGTCGTTCGTCTTTCGATTCCGGAACTCGGAATCGATCGATTTCACCCGCCGATAATTCGATTATAAAAGCTGCTGATCGTGCCTGCTGATTTCTCTCCGATGCTTCAAACGACGGTGTAATGTCTTCAAAGAGGGGAGAGATAGAGGCTGATTGAGTCGTTGGAATTACTTATCTCCGCATCTTGCGCCATCAGCCGTCCGATTTTTCATCATGCATCTCATATTGAAAATATTTGCGCAGCTGAACTTTGAACTGCGGGGGCGGGGGTATTATCTTTGCGTCTTTTAGAAGGATATTACATATTTTTAACACGTTCCGTGA